GCCGCCGCCGCCTGGAGCTGCTATGGCTGTCGGGCCCGGCCCCACCACTCCCCTCAGCTCCGTCGCCGCCATGAACCGCCGCCGCCCCGAGAGACAGGACCGGAACCGCCTACGAGAGCCGCCGTCGCCGCCCGGAGCGCCCCACACCGATAGCGCATCAGCCGCCGCCGCGCAGCGTCCCCGCCCCGCCAGGCCTGCTGAGGGGAGGAGGGCTCAGCCTCTGGACGGAGAGTTTCGATTGGAGAAACCGGGTGTCAGTTGGGGAACACCCGGCGGACATTGGTGTTTCTCTTCAACTCTTGGTATTCTCTGCCGCCCAGTGAGAGCTGGGGTGGGGCGGACTGGCAGCCGCGCCGTTGATTGGTTCCTCTGAAGGCCAATCAGACGCCGCTACAAGCTCATTGGTCCTTTACCGAAGACTCCGGCGCTCAGAGAGGAGAGGAGAATGTGGAGGGCCCGGCCAGTTTGATCGTTCATTGGTTCTCGTTTCTGTCACTCCTTTTAGTTTATGGTCCCGTCACCGCCACGTCACCTCCTCCCGTCACTCCTCGCATCACCCTTTTCCGCCCTTACGGATTGGTAGTTAACACCAGCGCTCAATCTTTTCTACTGGAACAGTGGGTGGGGAGGGGGAGCAGCCTTGTCGCCAAAGTCTTTCTTTCCCTTCTTATTGGTTAAACCCCACGTCATTTACCTGTCCGGAAAGATAGTGATTAGTTCCGGGAATTGTCTGTGACAGCTGGAGCTTGGAAATGCTGACCAATGAAAGAGACCTTAATGAAAAAGAAGTAACCAATAAGATCTGGGAAGTGCTCTTAGGAATGAGCGAGGTGCTTACCTGCCTCCAACCTTTGGGAAGTTTAGGGGATGCGGAAAGGAGTCAGCTTCCCTGAGCCAGACTGCGGAATGACTTTTAGGCTAAAATATCCTAGGGCCAAGTTTTGTAGCCAGAGACTTGGATTCTTGGGAAGCACATGAGTAGCTTCTTCAATACTCCTGGATCCATGACCTCCGTAATTCTCTTCCTTGGTTTGCTGATTAGCTCATTATCTCATCATTATCAGCACCGCACCCCTTATCTCTTGATTCAAGGCTGTCACATACCTCTATTAATTCTTTCTCGTAGTTTGTTGACCTGGCTTGGAGAAGAAAATAGATTTGTCCAGGAAACTGTACTTGAGATGGTGTTTACAGACCTAAGACCCTAGTTGGTTTTAGCCTCCTAAGGGCACACGTGTATGCTTAATGTAGTCCTGGGAAGGGTTGTTTTTGATAAATCGAGAGAAGTATGATTTGGTTCACACATTTGTGAAAATCGCAAGCTCAGCAAGTAATACTTAGTTGTAACCTTGTTACAGTGAACTCAGAGGAATGTGGAATCTGGTTGTTACATATTCCGAGTCTGAACAGGCAAGATAAATAACTGTTGGACTCGGTGAAGACACAATGTTACTCCTTGGTGATGGGCTTCCACGTGTCAAGAAAGTCAAGAGTTGAATAAAAAAAAGGAAGAAAGTAAAAAGTACTTTATTTTGTTTTTAAAAAAAAAGCACAATGTACACACACACACACACACATACACACACCATAAAACCTTCCACTAGATTAGGCTAAGATGATTTTTTCCTTTGCTGAACTAAATGGAATTTTTTAAATTTATAGTTTTATTTTGGACAGAAATATACACAGCAAAACCTACCCCCAATTCAACAGCTTCCGCTTCTAATGAATCAACGACATTGGTTTTATTCTTCAAATTATGTCAAACTTCTCATTTCTGTTCTGTTTGAATTTCTCTTATTGACGACTTCCTCAATTTTCTCTCAATGCTTTAAAATGCTGTCGTGATTCATTTTACTTAGTTGTCAAAAGAATGCAAACTCAGGGATGGCAATTATTTTTTATGTACTTAGTTTAAGGACTATCTAGATTCAGACTATGGTCTTTTCAATCACTTGTTACACATCTGAGAGCCAGACAATGAGTAAGGATAAAAGAAGAAGAAATGATGCCTTGGAATTGACATGCTAGAAAAGAAACCCCGTGTACTGCCGAAAGAACAAATAGGTATACCTTGAGAAAAGTGCAGCCAGAGTGCTGCTTGGAGGCAAAGATGACAAAGATTTTTCTCACATACTTTGGTCATCTTGCTAAGGAGTCTGTTCCTTGGAGAGGGATTTCCTTCTTGGAAAGATCAGAGAAAGATCCCACCCCCAGTGAGAAGGGTTAACACAGTGCCTGCAGCAATAAGTTCAGGTATGTCAGAGATGATGAGAATGGCACAGGGGAGGACCAGGGTCAGGTCTATTGTTCATAGAGTCATTACAAATCATACTTGACCTCAACAAGAAGTGGTGAACTGAATGGTTAAGTAATTTAGTTGTTAACAGAATAATGTGTGTAACAGAATGACAAGGAGTTTGATCCACCAGCTGCTTCATGGAAATAAAATTGTAGTAGTGTGCTTCTATCAAGATCACAGCCTCGAGAACCCTGTAGAACAGTTCTTCTTTGCCCTAGGGCGACATTAGAAGTCAGAAATGACTATAGGGCAATGGATCTGTGGTTATTTAGTTTAAAGATGACTTTAGGGGCTGATTTTGAGTCGAGATTTGAAGAGAACCACCAAACAACAGTATCAGGGACTCCTCTAACGTTTACAGCTCCAGTAAATCTATATTCTTTAATACAGTTCTCCTGTATTTCTCTTTTTATCAGGAATCATCTATTGTGTCCCTGATCAGAACATTCAGAACTGCCAGCTGGACACAAACTTCTTCTCCAGGTCAATGAAATCCATTTATGCTTGAGGCCTGGCTTTGTTACTTCCCAGTCCTTTATGGTGTGACCTGAAGTCTCCTTAGAAACAAGTACGGATGATGAGACTTTATCTTTCATACTTTGGGTATGTTCTCAGGAAAGACCATTTCCAACAGAAGGGACATCATGCTTGGAAGAAGTGGAGAGTCAGCAAAGAAGAGGGAGACCATCAGCAAGGTGGATTGACAAACTGCAACAATGGGTTTAAGCTGAGATCTTGTGGGTGGCACAGAATAGGGACTGGCTCAGATCTATTATCAGTCATTCGTGGCTGTGAGTTGTAGTCAACAATATCTAAAAGCAACAACATGAGTCAGAATTCACTCAACGGCTCTGATTTGGTTTTTTAAGTACCACAGTCTTGTGAGTTCTACCAATCTATATCAGATTGTTGTTGTTGTTAGGTACTGTCAACTTGAGTGTGACTCACAGTGACCCTATGAACAGCAATCCCCCACTGGATAGACTAACACATTCTATTTGCACGTTCTCATCCAGTGATGTGGCAAAGTCAGAGGCAATAGCCTAGGAAAACCACTTTGCACAGTAGACTGTTGTACCACACCATTGTTGCAGGCACTTTATCAATACATCTCATTGAGGATTTTCCTCTTTTTTCAATGACTTGCTATTTTATTAAAATATTATCCTCCATGGATTAGCCTCTCCTGATGATATGCCCAAAGTATGTGAGACAATCTCACCATCCTTACTTCTACAGGGTATATGTTGTTGTTGTTGTTAAATGTTGTTGAGTCATAGATGACTCACAGCAACCCTATGAATGAAAGACTTGAACACTTGTATAACTTTCATCATTTCTCCAAGTTCACAGAGTTTCCAGAGGCAAGCTCTTTCAGAAATGGATGCTACTCCTGCTTCCAAACTTGTCTTAATCTGGGAGATCCACCAAACACTGTACACCAAAACAGAAATATATGTATACACACACACACACACACACACACACACACACACACACACACAAAATCTGCAAACACATGCACGTGTGTGTGTATTTATAAGGAGATCTGTGTTAGCATGGTATATTACGTATTACGCAGCTAATCAAAAGTCTGGCAGTTCGAATTCACTAGCTGCTCCTCAAGAGAAAGGTAGTTTATGCCTGTAAAGTTTCATACCCTCAGAAAACCTATGGAAGGTTTCTAAAATTGAATGAAAAGAAATTGAAATAAAAAATATATGTATTTATAGGACCATGAACAATGAATTTTTAATCAAAATTTTAAGTGAAAAAGTGAAAGCAAATAAAAGAATATATAATTGTTTATTGTGTTTTTAACAAAAGTTTTAAAAAACCTTGGATTTCCATTCATTCATTGTTGCACATTTCGCTCTTTACCCCCCACCCCATTCTCTTTTCTCTTTAAAAAGTTCATTCCTAGGGGAGCTCTGGTGGCCTAGTGGCAAGGAGCTGCAACTACAATCCCAGAGGCGCATGGTTCCAATCCACCAGGTGCTCTGCCGGGGAAGGAGGGACAATCTCTTCCTGTACCAGTCAGATCTGATTTGATGGTACACGCACACAAAAATAATAATAATAATAAAAAAAAACATAAAAAAAGTTCATTCCTTGTTGCACAATTTTCTCCCTTCCCCACTCTCGCCCCATTTCTCTTGGCTATGTATCTCATATTCTGGACTGTTGTCATGCAAATAAAGCATAATATTTATTTCTTTTTAAACAATTCTTTCCCTCATTCAGTCCAACACAGTGTTTATGATTTATCCCCTCTTTTCTTAGTTTCTCTCCAGCCCCCAATGTCAGTCCTGTTTTATGACAGTGGAATTATGTACTACTTCTCCTTTTGTGACTGAGATATTTCACTCAGCATAATGTCCTCCAGGGTCAAACATTTTGTATAATATTTTATGAGTTCCTTGTTTTTCAGTGCTGTGTAGTATTCCATTTTGTGAATATACCACAGCTTCTTTATACCTTCATTTGTTATTTCCAACTCTTTGCTATTGTGAATAATGCAGCAATAAACATGATGTGTTTATATCTGTTTGAGTGAAAGTTTTGGTTTCTTTAGGGTATATTCCCAGTAGTGCAATTGCTGATTCAAATGGTATTTCTATTTCCAACTTTTTGAGAAAACACCATACTACCTTGCCATTTTTACACTCCCACCAACAATGAATAAGGGTTCTAATTTCTCCACACTTGCCAACATTTGTAATTTGCTGCTCTGTTGAACTTTATTGTTGTTACTGGAGTAATTGGATATCTCATAGTTGTTTTGATTTGCATCTCT